CCCCAAGACTTCCGGCAGAAAACGGTATCTGGTCAGGCGCCTCCCCTTCTGAACGCGGCGTCCTGTGGACGGGGGCGCGTCGCGGTCAGCGACCGAAGACGGGTCTGGTGCTGTCCCACCGTGCCTCTGACAGGGCGCACCCCCCTCACGCACGCCAGGCCCCGGTCACTCCGTGGTGCTGTCGTCCTGTGGACGAGAACGGTCTAGGATCTCCCTGTGTCCCTTCCTGCTGTCCCCAGACTGCACTGGGCCGCCCAGGCACTGCGGCCAGCCCTCAGGGTGCCTCTGGGAGTCTCGCGTTTCCACGGGGAGGAGGTGTCCGGCATCTACCGGGGACACTGCAGTTTCGGCGTGAATCACGTGACCTCCGCTCGGGTGTGAACCTGGGGTTTGGCGTTTGCTGTGATGGGAAGCAGGTCCTATGTGAAAGTCATTGTGGAGCAGGGACGAGGACTCTGGCCTGACCCAGCAGTGCACATCTGTCCGGGCCCCACAGCCACACTTCCGAGGGCTACCAGGTGGCCCGGACGCACGTCCTCAGGCGGTTACTTGAGTGTTGTCCTTACTTGATAGGGAACTGCTGGAGAGCCTGGCCAGGTGTGGGGACAGAGCTTGAGGCCATCTGGTCTCCCCCACTCAACTCCTCCCCTTTCTGTATTTTGTCAGGAAGCACTGAGTGGCCAAATTTAAGTCTGTTTTGAATCATAAAACAGTTGTTTGCTATTTCTTCAGATACTGCTGCAAGAGAGAAATGCCCAGAAGAAGTCGGATATTTTGGAGCGAACCAAGCGTTTGGTGAGCATCGTTTCCTTTACGCAGCATCCGAGGTTCGGGTAGCCTGCGTGGAGGGGCGTTCCGACGGCGTTCAGTGTCGTCAGATGTTTCTCTCGTATCTTTTTCCCTTAAAACGAAACTGTTTTCAATTTAAACTTACTAGAGGACTATTGTAAAAAATACTGAAACACATAAAATGTACGATGAAGGTGACAAGGTCCCGAAAGCTCCACGCAGACACGTCCCAGGTTTCTCCGCGCGTGTGAACTCCACACTCGTCTCGGACTCGCCCTCCCCCGACAGTGCAGTGTGGATGGCTCTCGGCCACCGCCGTAACCGCTGCAGGTGGCTGTGTCCACGCACGCCGAGACGCGGGCCTCAGGGTCCTGTCGGTCAGCTGTCACGTTGCTTCTGACACTTTGCCGTGGGACAGTCACGTGGAGTGCTGCCCACCTGCATCTGCGTGTGCCAGGCTGCTTTTCACCCCAGAACGAGTTCCGCCGTGTAGGGCTTCTGGGCCAGAGGGCCACACACTCACGCGGGGCCCACGTGCCAGCCGACGTCTGAAAAGGCGCCAGTCAGCCCTTCACAGACTGCGGCGTGTGCCCCTGTGTCCTTGCCAAACCGGTGGTTTTGGTTTGTTTTAGTCTCTGTCATTCTTAAAAGAAAAAAATTGATTTCTTTGCTGCTTGGTGATTTTGAGTCTCATTCAGTGGTTTGTTATTTTGTAAACTACCTGTGGGTGTCCCTTGTTTGTTTTTTTTAAGAAACTCGATGAGATGGGGAAGCCAACTCTATCAAAGTCACCGTTTTCCCTAGCAGAAGGGGCACGTTCTTGTGCAGTGAAGTTGACGTGGCCAAAAGGTTTTTGGCCTTGACACTGTGCACAGAGAGGCCTCCCTCGTTCCTCACGTACCCGCTGTCTCATTGTGGTTTCTCTGTTATCCTAACACACTTTAGAGAGCCACCCGAAATTTACTTTGGTATAATAGATTTATTTTTCTGTCATTTCTTTTTTATTGGAAAAGTCTTTCATCTGACTAATGTGGACTATGGTTCAATTTTATTCATTTCTTTCTCACTTATTTAAATCTAATTAAAGCAAAATCATTTTATAGTTATAATATCAAATATAGGCTTCTTATCGAGGGGAGAAAGTGATGAAGGTCGGTGCTTTCCATGTGAGGACAGTGGTCTCTTGTGGGACATTGAGAGTCGGTAATGTGGTTTTCTAACTTCTGAGAACAAAATAACATTGTTTCAAACATCCCGCCTTGGATTCCGACTTAGTTGACCAAAAGGTAACTTCTTTTTAGTGAAAAATAATTTAGACATCACATAAGCTGCATGGTAATGCATTCCTGTCACAAGAACACTCGGATGACGTCCACATGCAGAGTTGAGCATGAAGGCCACGCCCTCAGCCCACTCTGCCCAGATGTCACGTTACTTTGTTGTTCTGTTTTCGTGGAAATGGTTAGTGGTTCCTGTTGATCTGTGAATTGATACTTTGACTATTTCCAGGAAATCTTTCCACATAGTTACCAAGTGTATCAACTAACACTTGGGAAGGGAGTTCATAGGAATATTTTTTCTTTTTACGTAATTGTAGGCGTGCAGATAAGTTTTAAGAGAATTCTGATACCCTTCATGTCAGTTCCCCAATCGGTGTGAAATTCAGGAGAACAGGGAATTCGCGTAAACTCCGCAAGCGCGGGCCGAGCACCTGCTCAGTGCGGTCACCTGGTCTGGGTCCCAGGAGAACGGGGAACGGACGCCCCCATGGGGCTCGGTCCATTGAGAAACACAGGAAGGCACAGCTGTAGTGGCGCAGGTGCAGGGACGTGCCGTGCACAGAAGGGACACAGCGGGGGGTGGCTTCCCGGCTCTCATAGCCACAGGCGCGAGGTGACGACACCCAGGAGGCCGTACTGACCAAGGGGAGTCCACTCGTCACTGTCTAGACGAGGCGAGCGTTGCGGCTCGCAGGGTGTGCTGGGGGACGGGGTAAGCTGACGCCGGGAAGGAATGAGGGGTGCGTGGGGGACGAGCTCTGTCGCGCTGATGAGGCGATCCAGGCCCGGGGTGGCTGCTAGCGGGGAGGGGGCGGCGAGTGGCCCCCGCCACCGACACGGACCCGGCTTCTTGGTTCTTTTCCGTTAGTGATGGGAAATTGCCAATTTTATTATTATAGCTAACACATAAAAATGTTTCCTCAACAGAATGAACTGAAATTGGCGGTGGTGTCTTTGAAAGAAGTACAGGAGAGTTTGAAAACAAAAATTGTGGATTCTCCAGAGAAGCTGAAGAATTATAAAGAAAAAATGAAAAATACAGTCCAGAAGCTTAAGAACTCCAGGGTGAGTTTCCTTCATGCTAACGCGCTGCCGCTGCCAGCAGCTCCTGTCTCGTCGGGAGCTGGTTCCGACCCATGGCGTCCGCACTTTGCAGCCTGACGCGGTTGCAGGGAGAAGTAGGCGCTCAGATGTTTGCGCGAGTGCGCAGCCCGGTCCTGAGGCCTTGCTCCGGGTGACCAAGACACACGCCCCGGCCTCATGAGACTTAGGTGCTTGGTTTTAAGGGACAAAGGTGTTAAACAGTTTCAGAAAAAATTCTGCAATTACAGATTTTAATACGTATTATAAGAAAATGTAGGGCCTGCGTGTGCAGCAGGAAGTATGTGGGAGATCTTTGCCTTCCGTAGAACTTCCCTGGAAAGTACGGGGTGCTCTGTGATAACGTCACAAGGGCTGGCTGGCTCGGTGTCCTGGGTCGGTGGCCGAGGGAAGGAGGCCGAGGTCTGTGCTGACACTGAGAGACAGGTAGAGGCTTCCTGGTAAAACCTGTGTGGGGAGAAGCGAGGCCAAGGGGGCTGCACGTGTGAATCCGAGGCCGTGCGGAGCCGCGCGCTGCGTAAGGAGAGAGGCCCGGGGGCCGGGGAACAGGCAGCAGGCCAGGGTTCGGGCGCTGCACTTGACCTTCAGGGCGAGGGCACAGCCGTACCCAGTTAGAAGCGGGGTGCTGGCCCTGGAATGATTTGCATCGGGAAGAGGCGGGGTTGCTGGGGCGTGGGCTGAGGTGGGGCGGGACAGGGGCAGAAGCAGGTAGATGATTTCGCTGGGCTTGGTGGGGACGGGTCTTTCAACTGTTCACGAGAAAATGTTTCTGGTTCATATTTGAGGTTGTTACTCGGGTAATTCCTGATGATTAAGGTTGTCACATGGTGGAAAACAGGTCACCAGGGGAGGAAGGAGAGCCCGAATCAGGTCTGAGTGTTTATGGGAAGAGAGTGATCCGCTTAGCACAGTCTGGGGCAGGGGCTGCCCACCTGGGGGCCAGAGGGCTGGCTCTGCACCTAGCCCCGTCTACACGGCCAACTGCGTGCGACTGAATTGAAATCTTAATTTAAAAAGTGGACAGTTTTAGGAGTTTTAGGACATCGGTGTAATCTTGGACTAGGGTAGATGTTTGAAGTTGAGACTGGCAGCCCGAAAGCCGTAGAGGAAAGTGCACCGCGGAGCACGCTCGCAGAGGGCCGCACGGCAGCTCAGGGGCCGTGTCCGCGATGCGCAGAGCGCCTCGGACATCAGGACAGAGAATGACAGGAAACGCGCAGGGACGTTTGAATCCAGCCGGTCGAGAAGGGGGAGCTGGTGGGAGAAGCAGGGGGGAAGGGGGAGAAGGGGGGCGGGAGAAGGGGGGGGCCGGCGGGAGGAGGTTTTTTTTTGGCCGGCGGGAGAAGGCGCTTCATCTTTGCGGGGGATGTGCTCACAGCGTCCACGTCCTGACTTAGCGGAGCACCCCGTGCAGCATGGCGTTCCGCACACGCCGGAGACCCAGTGTGGCAGAGCTGCCGGGTGCTCGCGGAAACGAGGTGTCCCGTCACAGCCCCCCGGAAGGCAGTTCCATGAGTGCTTCAGTGACACGGTGGCCGGCGTCCTCTGCCGAGCGCACATGGCAGTTACGCTCGGCTCCATGCGCTCGGACGCTTGGCGGTGACGACGCTTTGCTCCGGGCCTGGGAACCGCTCGTGCTCGGCCCTTCGGCCTCCGTGTAAGCGCCGCGGTGGGCGCGGAGCGGGCGCACCTGCGTTTCCCGAGGGAGCGCAACAGCCTCTGGCCTTTCCCTTCGCAGCAAGACGTGTCGGAGAAGTACGAAGCGTACCGGGACTCGGTGGACGGCCTGCCGTCCTGCCAGCGGGAGCTGCAGCTCTACCAGAAGAAGGTCCAGGACCTCGCGGACAACAGGGAGAAGCTGGCCGGTCTCCTGAAGGAGGTTCGTGTTGGCCGCGCGTGCTGCGTCTGTGTCGCGTGGCCGTTTGCTCGGGTCTGTCCCCCTCTTTGTCACTGTTTTCCCAAGACAGGCCGGCGCCTCCCGCAGATGCGAGCTGAGGTGACGTGTGCCGAGGGGCGCGTGTCCTCAGCCCCGGCCGAGCCGACGGGCACGGCTGCCCTGTGTGTTCTGGGAGCAGTTATGGCATCTCTCGTGCCCTGTGTCTGATGGCGGGGAGTGGCCCTCTGATCACCGGGCGTGAGGTCCCCACGCGCCGCCTGGCGCAGGGCGCCCCCGTGCGACCCCCCGGGTCTTGACCTCGCGTGCCTCTCGTGCCACAGAGCCTGAGCCTGGAGGACCAGATCGAGAGCGGCGAGTCGGAGCTGCGCAGGCTGAAGGCGGAGGAGAGCTCCCTGCGGAGGCTGGCGGGCGCCCGGAAGGACCGGCTGGCCACGGCGCAGTTCCGGATGAGCAGGAAGCACGAGGACGCCGAGCGGCACAAGCGCGTGGTGATCGAGTACGATGCCCCGGCCGGCGCTCGGGGCACGGGGACGCTCCCTGAGGCTGCAGGGCCCGCACCCCGGGGGGTCGCGGCCCAGGCGGCCGAGCCAGCGCGTCACCACGGAACCGTGTGCTTTAGGGACAGCTCAGGGTCTAGTCTTCCTCCCGGGGTCGCCGTGTCAGCCCTCTGCCCCGTCCCCCAGCATCCGGTCAGTGGCCATGGTGGGCTCTTTGCTCCAGTTGCCCCCGCCCCCCACCCTGGTCCAGAACGTGCCGAGGGCTGGGAGCTGCAGTGGGGAATGAGGGACAGGTGGGACCTAGGCGTCTGCGTGGCTGGTCCACGTGCCACCCCTGCTCTCGAGGGCACCCGGGGCCGGCCCCGTGAGCCGGACGCCAGCCTGGCCCCGCCGGGGGCCTCGTCTCTGGTCCCTGCCTAGGGCAGAGTCTTGGGTTCGTCCACAAACCCGTGTGACCGCCCCGGGACCCGGGGAAGGGTGACCTGCTGTCTGCTTCTCTCCAGAGACTGCAACAAGGTCCAGGAGAAGAGAGGGGCCATCTGTGAGCGCATCGCCGCCGCCAGCCAGGAGATCCAGCAGGTCCGGTTCGCGATCCAGCAGCTGAAGGACGCCACTGAGCGCGAGAAGCAGAAGTCCCAGGTGAGGCCGCCGAGCAACCGCCTCTGCTGCGCCCGCGGCTACCGGGCAGGTCACGACCCCTCCCGTGCGGAGTCCCCTCCCCAGGGCGGACGTGGCCCCGCGGGCCTTTTGCCTTTCCGTCCTGGTGCACACGTTTGTGTGACCGGCCCAGTCGGCTGCGTCCTCCTCCCTGAAGGCACCTAGGGGGTTGTTATGCTTTCCTGCATGAGTGGGTATTCCAGAATGTTCTGTTGGGATAAATGAACGTCATAGTGACATCGAGTAGCGTCCTCTAAAAAATGCATTTTGTTCCTGAGAAAAGACTCTCCAAAGAAGTATTTCTCGTCCGCACTGCGAACGGGGACAGACGCGTTTGGGACAGTCCCGTGTCCTTATCCCGGAGTCGCTAATCGCGGTCATTCCTCGCTGGCTTGGAGTGTGTGGCCTGAATGTCACCGAGCGGGGCGGTCGCCCTCTGTCCGCGCAGTCGCCTTCCAGGACGTCAGTGCAGCGCCGGGCGCGCGACGCGGGCCCGGTTCTCTCTTCCTCGCTGCCGGTGGCTCGCGGACGGGACTGTCCCCCACGCGTAGTCGTCCTGGGCTGATTGCGATACAGCAGCCCTTTATCACGCAGCGCCCCCGCGGGCAGCTGGGACCGGGCTTCCTGTTGTCGCTGCCTTCCACGCCCTCGTCCTGTGCCGGGACCTCTGGTCCTGACCGGGCCGCAGCGGTGTCGGCACGTGCACAGGCGAGGGTGCCGGGTGCTTGAGAAGGAACGGGGAGAGGGCACATGGCAGCTCTGTCCCCTCCCTGGTCTGCCCAGCACCCTGTCCTGGTGGTTTCAATGACGACGGTCACGGCCCTCGAGGCACCTGCCTGGTAACCGTGGAGACCACCACGGGGCTTTTCCCTGAGGATCGCCAGTGTGGTCAGGTCCTGGAAACCTGCCGTCGTCACGGGTCCCCGCTTCGTCCTTGCTGAGCAGGCCTTTGATGTGTCTGCACAGCTGGCAGGATGACCTTTGAGCAAGAGTAGTAAAACGCCTCACAACG